GGGCCGGGGGAAGTTGGCATAGCTGCCGTGGCATTTCAGAGGTGCCGGCCAGCTTCCCGCAGCTTCCAATGAGGGCATTGCTAGCCCCAAATCCCAAACCTCCAGGGAGGCTGTGAAAGGCCAGAGATGGGACAGTCCCGAGAGGAACGGAGCCTGGGCACTTGGAGATGCTGGTGAGAAAGTTCACGGAAGTAGCCCTTGAAATCTGGCACTAAACACAGGGTCCTGGCTTGGCTGAGATGCTGCCCGCACCCCCGGGGAAATTGCTACAAGAATCTGGGTTTGGGAGGGAGTGGGGACGGGGGGACGGAGAAAGGCTCTGAGCCCCAAGTGGAGACGACAAGAGACAGAGGGGTCACGGCGAGGCCTTGGGGAGGCAACGGGCTCGCGTGCTGGTTGGAGGCGCTTCCCCTGACGCTCGCCGGGGACCGCGGCAAAGGGTCCGGGGCGCATCCTGCCCCTCTCCCCGCACCCCATGCCCTTTTCAGTTCACACTGAGGTCTCTGACTGCAGCCTCATGACAAACTTGTGTGACTTGGGGTCCACGAACTCCTCGGAGAGCTTGAAGAAGGGGATCTTCTTGGTGCTCACCACCAGGCTGAAGTCATGGCGCTTGAGAAGGAAGACCACGCCGTCCTTCAGGCCATTGGTCACGGGCTCTTCGCTGACCAGAGTCCACTGCTTGGCCAGCCAGCGGTCCTTGTGGTACTGGATGGTGGGCCCAGCGCTCAGGTACCGCTCCAGGAAGGCCTGGGGGAGAGAGAGGAGATGGAGGCTGGTCTCAGCAGGGGCAGGTCTGTGGTCAGCTTGCCTAATGGCCATGAGAACAAGCCAGCTCCAGCCACAGAAATGCCCACCTGGCTACAGCAGTGGCTCAGAAGCCACCCTCGGTGGCTGGGCCTGCTGCCCTCAGCCCTCCCCACAGCCAGAAATGCAAACCCAGATACTAGAGGGGACCTTTCTCCAAGGGATGGGGTACATGGCAGCTCCCAGAGCATGCAGCAGGCCCTTGGTGGAAGAGCTGGGGAAGGTGCTAGGAGCCTGGCCCCCATCATGAGGTCTCCGTGCCTGCTAATCCACCTGCTATCCTGAAGCCTGCACCAGAGGTTGCAATGCTCTGCAGAGATGGATCCTGCAGGGCGTAACAATCCAGCACCCAGCTCTGCAGGAGGTCTCTTCTGGCTAGGGAAGTCCCCGGCGATGGGCCAAGCAAGCAGGGAGAAGTGCCGACTGCTATAGGGCAGGAGGAGCATTTTCCCCGCAGCCCCCTTGTACCTTGGGAGTCATATCATGGGTGATGCAGAACTCCAGGTGCTGCAGGATGCTCTCCATGGTGTGGTAGGGCTGCTGCTTGGTAGTGCGCAGGTACTTCTGCATAGCGCGGGCCATGGAGGCGAAGATGGCCTGGGCCGCTTCCCGCGGGTCCATGATCTCTCGCGGGTTCTTCTGGTCCTCCTCTTGCAGCCGCTTGATGTGGGTGAAGGCTTCCTCCACAGCCACGACCAACCTGTGGAGGGAAGGGATCCCGGGATGGCACCATGACCTGGCCAGCTCGTCCCACAGGAGACATAGGCACGGATGCTAGCTGCCCCGGTGGAGAGCTGCAGGGCACCACAGGGCCCTCGCTGCCATCCCTGGTGGCCTGCCCCCACGTCCCGTACCTGGCGCGCCGCTTTCGCACCCGCCGCTCATGCTCTGCCTCTTCGTAGTAGTACTCGTTGTGGCTGTTGTCACGCCGCCGGGCGGCCGCGGCGATCACAGCCCGCGACTGGCCCGTGGAGTTGTTCGTTGAATTCTCTGCAAGGGGAGCAGAGGGTTAAGTCCAAGGGGGTGGTCTTGCAGCCGGAGTCCACATTTCCCAACCCTGGCCATGACGCAGCTCTCTGCAGTCATGGTGTAGACATGACCTGGGACCCCTACCCTACCTAGGGTGCCTGTTAACATGGCCACATGCACAAGCTGGTGCGGCCAGTGACCCATGCGCGGTGCACAGAGGGTAAAGGGAAGGTATCAGCACTAGGGACGGCAAATGCATTGGGATACTCAGTGGTTGCTCAGAGAAAGAGGACAATCCAGCAGGAAAAGCAGCAGCGAAGATGCCTTTACCAGGAGCAGGGGCATGGGATCATTGAAAATATATTAAAGACCTTTTCCAGCAGCAGGACGTTGGCTGCTTTCCCTGGGGCAAATTCAGGTGTGACACTTGTGCTGTGTCAGGGTTGATGGTAGTTTTACTAAGAGCTTAGATGATGGATGGTTTAGACAGGGCTGATCCTGCCTCAGGCAGGAGGTTGGACCAGATGGGACCTCAGAAAGTCCCTCTAGCCCCATGGCTCTGTGATTTCTAAGATGCTGTCTGGACAGAAAGGGATGTTAAAAAATAAACCAAGCTCCCGCGCCCCCGCGCTGAGGCTGGAAGGGATGGGAGAGCCATCTATAAAGACAACAGGTGGGTTCATTCCTTCTTATAACTCAGCTCAGACCCCGAGCACCCAACACAGTTTCACAAGAGTACTTGGTCCTTCTACTGGTATAAAATCGGAGCAAATACATGGCCAACAGCCCTGTGCTGCTGTAAACCCTGGGGGGAATTACCCAGGGGGAAATCAGGTATAGCTCTACCCTGGAATAAATGCTGTCTGTGCAGGATGGCTGTTAGCTCAAGGCAAATGAGTTGTTACCTATTCCCCCTCCACTTTAGGGTATGGCATTGCGCACAGCCACCCTGGGAGAGCAGGTTGTGTGTCTGCTCCAGACCCCAGGGTGACCCTAACTCTAACCCTAACCCTAATCCCCAAGGTACCAAAGCAAATGGAAATCACAGGAGCAGGTGGTGCCTCCAGGCTGGCAGGTCTGTGCAGCGACGGCTGGGCTGGGATGGGTTAGGATAGAAAGCAAGGGGTGATAGGGACACCGTCAACACAGAGAGAACAGACAGCGACAGGTGGGGAGAGATGAGAAGCCGCGAGCTCACCCTCGCCGAGGGAATACACCTTGAACCCGGACATTTTCTTGGACAGGACGGATTTTGGCAGGTTGAGGAGGGCGGGGTTGTAGACGGGGAAATCATGGTAATAGTTCTCCAGGATCCACACGGCCACTCGCTGGATGCTGCGGAGAGACCCAGCCGGGGCCAGGGGGGCAGGGACACAAAACAACCGGTTAGAGCCATGCGGCGGGGCGCACAGAGGAGGACACGAGAGGGAAGTGGTGGCGTGCTGGACCTGGCAACCCCGTGCTCAGCACTGCGGGGCCTCTCTGGACAGCCCTCCCCAAGGACATGGCAGTGGCACTGCTTTGGGTGCCCTGCTGCTGCCCCCTCCCAGCTGCCACAGTACAGACATGGAGCCTGGAGGGACCCCTCCCCAGCCCCCAGCCCCGCAGAGACTCGGCAGGGACCTGCTGCATCCTGCCTGCAGCTGCAGAGTTGTCCAGCAGGGAGCAGCAGCACACATGTACACACGCTGGCTGGGCTGTGTTACACATACACATGCACACTCATGCATCCAATCATGCACACATACACACCTGTGCACACACACGTGTGTACACAGAGATCTAGTAAAATGCAGAGGGCAGCATTTTACACACACATTCACATGTGCGCACACACACATGCATACACACACATGATCCTGTGCAGCAGAGGCTGGCAGCATGTGTGAACACCAATGCAGGCACACAAACACAGAGACAATCCCATGCAGCAGAGGTTTAGTGGTGCGCTTGAACATGTGTGCACACAGGTGTGTAAATACACATGGACAGCCTCACATGTGTACAGAGGAACAATCCAATACTGCAAAGACAGGTAGCGCATGCAAACAAACGTGCACATGCATACACCCGCATGCACAGAGCAGTAATCCCATGCTGCAGAGACTAGTAGTGCAAGCAAACACACATGCACATACATACACACAGAGCAACGATCCCATGCTGCCAAGGCTAGTAGCACATGCAAACACACATGCACATGCACGCACACAGAGCAACAATCCCATGCTGCAGGGGCTAGTAGCACATGCAAACACACATGCACTTGCATGCACACACAGCCACGATCCCATGCTGCAGGGGCTGGCAGTGCATGTGAGCACATGTGCACATGCACGTGCGCACACACACAGCATTTCCCTCTGTGAGACATGAATCCCCACGCCCCGTGGCTTCCCCTCACCTGAGGTGGCCGACGTTGTAGAAGCGGCTGGCCCCATCGGTGGAGCGCACCACCTTGAGCGTGAACTGGGGCTGAAGCTGGCGCAGCTCCAGCAGCACCACGGCCAGGTAGTGGACAAAGAGCAGGGCGTCCACCAGTGACACGGCGTACTGCACGATGCCCTGGTAGTCACGGTCCCGCGAGTCTAGGATGCGCACGCCGTAGAAGAGCCAGTAGGAGACGACCAGCAGGAAGACGAGCACCATCAGCAGGGCCCGGAAGACAAAGACGCGGGGGAAGAAAGCCTTGGGGCGCCGGAAGAAGAGGGCCCAACTGCCCAGCAGCAGGATGAGCAGCTTGAAGGCCACGGAGATGAAGAGCCCCTCGCAGGGCGTGCCGCAGGGCTCCAGCTCCTCCCGCCACAGCAGCTGAGGCAGCAGCATGAAGGCCAGCGGGGTGAGGAAGGACAGCAGCGCCAGCGCCCCGCCCAGTGAGACGCCCAGGTGGCGCGAGCAGTCCAGGTGGGCGCTGTCCTCCATGTCCTTGGTGATGCGCGTGATGTCATCGTGCGAGATGCTGTGCTCTGATGTCCCCGTCACCACCGTCGTGGTCTCGCCCCAGTTGTCATCCTGCGGGGGAGGAGGAAAGGGTTAATGACCCCGGGTTTTGTCAGGGGTGGCAAGTGGGGTCAGATCCACCGTCCTGCCCAGCTACCCACTACCACCACCTGGCCTGGGTGCAACTGGCCTTGCCCGGGTCCCTGAATCCAACCCAGACCTGACCCGCAGGCTCTCCATTTTCATCGCCAAACCCTATCCACGGAGGCCAGGATCACTGTTCCCATTCCACAGAGAGTGAAACTGAGGCACAAAGTGGCTAAGCAACTTGCCTCAGGTCAACCAGCAGGGCAGTGGCCAAGCAGGGATGGGACGCAGGAGTTCAGGCCCTCTGTTTTGTTCTGGGCACTAGGTGCAATCCCTTAGGATTCAAGGCAGCACGAGCACATTTGGCCCCACGCCCCACCTTCCTTGGTGATGCCCCTGCCAACCCGACCCTGGGCAGAACAGAGCCCGCACGTTGCCCTGTGATGCAGCTCTGGAGCTGTCCAGGGACTATCCAAGCTCACCAGGAGCCAGAGAGATAGCACCACCGCTCTGTTCTCCCTCCTGACGGCCCTTGGAGCCAGGCTTGAGGGCCCACACCAGCCCAGGACTGGGTGCCTGCTAGCACGAGAGATGCCTAGAAACCTCAGCTCCCGCCAGCCCTGGCAAATTGACTTGCCACCAGCTTTCTTCCTCCAGGAGCTGGTTTATTTTCTCCTCGTGAAACGCCAGGAACCGTCACACAACGGGCAACGGATACCAGATAAGCAGCCAGGCTCGGCACCCCAGACCTGCTCCTGAGCCAGGCAGAGCCGAGGCAAGGTGCGGCAGGGCCTCTCCAAGGTATTCGGCAATGCCACGCAAGCTGAACTGCAGAATGATTTTTTCACGGAGCCCCCGGCCCTCCAAGAGGCTTTGTGAGATTGGGTCTAGCAGGCAGCGGGCTGCAGCCGTTCATGCGAGGCATTACGCACACGTAGGCATGGGTTGAAGAGCCCCAGGGAGAGTGCTCCCTCCCTCCCCTTCAGCCCCTTCTCACCCTCTCATCCCCTCGGGTCGACTCGTTGTCCAGGAGGGGCTCGCCGGGGGCCTGGATGGTCACTGACTTGTCGCCACGGCTCCCATCTCGGCTTTTGGAGCGGTGCCGGTCCCGTCGGTCTCTGGGGGAGAGAGAAGACCCCACATGGAGTGAAGAGGGAGCTACCAGACCAGCTCAGCTAGGGCAGGGGGTGGATGTCAGCAGGGACAAGCTGCATACTCTCCATGGATGCCCATGGCCAGAACTCAGGTAATGGGGGGGGTCCTGCCATTGCCACCCCATTGCAGTGGGTATTGCCATGAAAGCAAAGCTCTGTGTGCATGTGTTGGGGGTCTCTGGGCACATCCACTTCCCTCCCCCAGGTCCCTCCAGCCAATGCCAGGGACCCTGCCCCTTGCTCCTCAAGGAGTGGTGAAGGGTTGGAGCAAAGGGGCTAACCCCATGAACATCTGGGGTGCTTCATTCAAGGACACACATGATGGGGAGAGATGAGGAGACCCCTCCTGAGGCACTACCAGAGCTGTGCGGGGACCTTCCCACCCCTCATGCCTCTCTTCTTCTCCAGGGGATCTCTCCCAACCCCCAAGAGCATGCCTAGATCAACCCCCCTCCACAATCCAACCTCCCGCCCTGGCCTCACCGATGCTTGCGGGAGCTCCGTGAATGCCCTGACTTGTAGGAGTAGCCCGAGTACTGCGACTCGTTGTCCATGTTGTCGGAGCGCCGCGCCTTGTAGCGCTCCACGTTGACGGACTTGGCCCGTCCGGGCCCAGGGACGGCCGCCAAGGCAGCCGCGGCCTCCTTGAGAGCGGGCTTCTTCAGGCCCAGGGGCGCCTTCAGGAAGTCGACTTTCACCCGGAGGGACTCTATTTTGATCAGCTGGCGGGGCTCCTCTCAGAAGAAAATGATGCCCTGCTGCAGGGGGAGAGATGGGGAGGGGTGCAATTAGACCCACCTAACCCCAATGCACCCCAAAGCATGTGCATTGCTATTTTCCCCAGTTAAACTCCCCCCAGCACTCCGGTCTCTGCCAGCATGGTCAGAGAGGCATGCTCTTGCCCAGAGCCTGTGCATTCAGGGGGATGATGACTTTCTTCTCAAATGCTACAGAGAGGGGGAAGGTTGTTCCCATCATTTCCCCCATTGGAGCCAACTGCCATGGCAAGGATGGTGCTTTCCATCCCTGCCATGCTCAGTTGCACCCAGCACTTGCTTTGCTGTGTGTTTGTACAGCCCCTAGCACATCTGGGGGTGGCAATCTCCAGGCAAAACGATGCATTTTTAACAGCTGGAAATAGCCTAGAAAGTTCGTGGCTCCAAGCAGCCAGCTCAGAGGAGCAGCTGGGCACAAAAGGGAGGGCTCAGGGCAGCACAGATGCCACCTCCTCCCGCGGGTGAGCAGACTTGCCACCTCCCCGATTCAGGGGCAAGCAGCATCCTTTACACCCCAGTCCTGCTTCCCCCGATGCCCCCCCATCTTCCCCGCAGGAGTAAGCACCGTTCAGCCCCAGAGCCACAAACCCTGCTGCACCCAGTGCCCGGTGACACCCCCTGCCCTCGCCACGCAGGGTGCACCACGGGCAAGAGACGGCCGGGGTCGGGGTGGGCCCAATGCAACGTGGCGTGTTACCACAGAAATGCCATTTCCAGAAAAGAAAACCCAAATGTCTTTTGGCCTCTTCCAAGGCCCCCCTGCCTTGGGGAGGGGGCCGGGGCGGGGTGGGCATCCTTTTGTCCATGATGCTGGATTCTCTCACATTTATCACTATGGAAACAAAAGCCCCCCCACCCCGGTTGTCTAGGAGATGGCAACAAGGCCTGGGAGCTCGAAGAAACACAAGCAGAAAGAGAAAGCCCCCCCTTTTGCAGCCCCCCTCATCTCTGGGTTTGGTCTGAAAGGAAGGATCGGATTTCTGCCGGGAACAATACGGGACCGGGCCGGGGCGGGCGGGCAAGCAGCCCTCCCTGGGCAGGGGGCCGGGCGCGCTTTGTCCCTGGCCTATTCATTAGCGCCATTAGGAGATTTACACCGGGCTGCGTTCCCTGCTGCTCTGCTCCCAGCAGCCAGCCGGAGCGGGGAGGGGACGGCCCCGCCAGCGGCCTGTGGCCCAGCCGGCCCCTCTGTGCAGAGCGCCCGGGCAGGCCCTCCGTCCACCGCCAGCTCCCAGCCGTGTGCATGCATGCGTGTGTGTATCAGTGCATGCCCCCACCCACGCACAGCTGCACACACACAGCCTCATGTGGACACAGCCACCCCCCCACCATTGCACACGCAGGCTCCCTCTTTGCACTGTCCAGGTCATGCCTAGAGGCACACCCCACCCAAGCACTTGAACCTCCCGATCCCATGTTCCCCCTCGTCACCCCTTTGCACACGGCTCCCCACACGGTAGTACCATGCACATTTACGTGCCTTCTGGCATGCTCACGTTTGCCAACACGCATGTGCAACTGTGCATTTTCTCCCGCCTGCCCTAGTGCAAACTAAACTCAATCCTGCCACCTGTTACATGTTGCTATGGGATCTGTGACCTTCACCCTGCTGAGAATCCAAGACTGGCCTAGAGGGAAGGAAGAGGTGACCTCCCTGCTTCGCACGCCCGGAAACCAGGAGTCCTGGCCTCACGCCCTGCACGCATGGTGGGAACTCACCGGCTCAGCACAGGAGGGAGCAGGGGTAGCAGCAGTGATGCAGAAGGCCTGGTTGCCCCCTGGCGAATCAGTCACCAAGACCTCTGTGCATCCTGTGCTCTTGGTGGCAACTGGCAGCCAGATCCTGATGGGTGCAGCAGGCGACAGGCCTCCACATCTGGAGTAGCTCAGGCGTGGGGCATCTGCTCAGGCACGGGGCATCTGCTCTGGGTTCCCACGGGGAAGCTGCAGAGGAAGAAAGGAGATGAGTGCACGAGGTCTCCTGCTGCAGCCGGCGCAGTGCTGGGGTGTCCAGGAAGGGTCCCAGGGCTCAAGAGGGTAGATCGTGCCAGCACTCTCCTCCCCAACCCCAGCCCAGCTCCACTGAAACCCATTAGCCACATCGCAACACAGGACACCAACCCACTAGCGCATGGCCAGACCCTCGGACGATGACTCAAGACAGAGGCTTTGAATGGGCAGTGGCGCCCGGGGTCTAGAACAAAAGCCTCCAGCCCAGGACGAACCCCGAGACCATCCAGCCTGGTCTTTCTGATTAGCTTGTAGCATTGATCAAGCCAAAAGACCTCCTGCTCCAGCCAGCCCCTCAGAGGAATGCCAGCCTCTGCCAACGCTCTGAGCCAAAGTACTCATCTTTTCTTTTTAATTCTGTTTCTAGGCCAAATCCGGTCCAAATTAAGTTCCACATTTCAAGTGAGCAGAGCTCCATCATTCAAGTGTGTGGTGCTACCACTGTCCAGTCTCCTCCCTCCCAGACTCTCCACCTTGGGGCTTCAGATGCTCCCAAATCCATGGATGTACTTACATGCAAGCTCCAAGCCCGGAGGATTTCGGGCTCAGATGCCTCCCAGTCTCACGTGCCCCAAATCAGAAGGCGCAAGATACAGGGAAAGCTTGAAAGCAAACCCCCCATCATCATCAACTGTGTAGCCAACGTCCTCGCATTGGAGGCATTGTAGACTCTCGCCTGCCCGCAGCACAAGGGACAGGCCTTTACCCTCTAACACTGGGTCATTCAAGGCCAAGAAGATCACGGCATCTCCCATCCTGCACCCTTGCGCCTGAAGCAGACCGGCTCGGACACCTCCATCCCCACCAGTGCCATTTCCCCCTGAGCTTTCCAGGCCGAAAAAAACAGCTCTGTTTAAAATGTTTCTAAAACGCACATTTTTAAATGGGACCAAACTTCACGAGCCAATCTTTTGTGTGGGTCTCAAAACAGCCCCCCCCCCATTTTTTGACAGGGATTTTCCAGGGTGAGCAGAGGGGAGAAAAAGCTCAATCCACAGGATTTTCCCTTCGAGTCCTCTGTTTTGCAGCCAGCCTTGCTCATTGTGTAGGTTTTGCTACATGCAAATGCAGTGTTGCTTTAATTACCCGGGTACAGCCAAGGCAGGATGCACCCCCAGAGATGGAGCCACATACACAGGTACAAAGGTGCTGGCGATGCTGTAGCTGCTTTATTGACCCCAAGAACAAGGAAGTTTGGATGTGGTGAGGTGCAAAGAAGCTGTTATTTCTGCTCTTCTGCATCCAGAGTCTCCACGGCATTGGGCACTGCATAGACCCGGCAAAGCCTCTGCCCTGGGAATCCTATTCAAGGCAAGGGCAGAGGACTGTCCCTGTTTCAGGCAGAGACACAGAGGTGGGACAAGGACCCAGGTAAGAGCAGCCCTCCCTGAGCTCAGAGTTTGCTCCTCCACTGCCTCCGCTGTGCATTTCGCGGGGCCGGGGTGGGAGACAGCAGTGAGCTTCACAGCACCCGAGGCAGCGAGTGGCAGCCAGGCAGCGTGAGAACCCGGCAGCCTCATGTCGCAGCAGGACCGGGACTGTCTATTCGGCATATCCCCCAATCCTTTGGGGAAGGGAGCAGACACAGGTGGGCACCAGGCCTGTCTCTGCTCTGGCACATGGTGGAAAAGTCCCTCCCTTCCTGCCCCATGGAGGTCACCACCCCATGGCTGGGCCCTGCTATTCTGGATGCTTGCAATGTAGTGGAGGGAATCACCCAGCTCACAAAGGGAGGTAACAGTTTGCGCTGATCTCAAAGCACCTGTTGCATGGTGGAAGGGCCTGCCAGTGGTAATTCCTGGCCTCTCAAGGCTCCCCACTGAGTGCAAAGGGTGCTCAGGTATACAAGGGCATCTGCAAAGACCTGGCCGGGATGCTTTCAGGCTGGGCACTGGGATCTCTGCATCTCACCACCTCTGAGAGGAGTTCTGACAGGTCTCAGCCCAGCTTGTGCCAGAGGGGTGCCTGCATCTCACATGTTCCTAGCTCTTTTGCTGGCCTCTCTTGCTGAGGACATCAGGGCACGGGGGACCTCTCAAGGGGGCTTGCTAGGTTTAACCAGAGGATATGGGGCTTACCCCAGCTTGTTACCCGTGTCCCGGGGCTGTCTCCCTGGTCCGCAACACAGCACGACACCCAGCAAAACTCCAAGGGGGGCATAAGCTACTCCCAGGGCAGAGGGGTTTGCTCCATTAAGACACGTCTGCAGAAGTGAAGTGAAGCATTGCTGCCCCCCTCACCAGCCAAACCAAGCTGGCTTCGCCCCCCAGCCTCCCCACTGCTACGGTCTTGGTTGCAAGGCGGGTTACCCAGAGGTCAGTCCTGGGGGAGTCAGCAGCCCTGGATATTGAGAGGGGGCATTATTTCTCAGCTTGCAAACTGGCCCCCTGCCGTGAGTCTCCCCCTGCACGTTCACATGCCCCAGCGAGCCTGCCCTCTTCAAGCGAAGAAAGCGCAGCTGGGAGACAAGCTTACCATGGCACACCGGCCACCGGGATCGAACCTACAGCACTGAGCTCAAGCGGGGACCCCCCGGGGTTCACCGGGACCAGGCTCTGGCTGTCTACAACAGGAAGATGCGAGCACGCACGCAAAACCGTGGCATCTGTTACATGCAGCAGATGTGTGTGGTTTTGCAGGTCAGGCTCCCAGCAGAAGGGAAATCAATTATATGGAGCCCGGGTCTGCTTGGAGTGCAAACCGGCACTGCCGCCTTATGCAAGCTGGTCCTGGGACAGAGGCACACAGCAGCACGCAGCTTCTCCTGGGGACCGACGCCAGGGCCCATCCCCAGAATGGGCTCTGAACACAGGCAAGCTTTTTTGCGGCTCAGGGCCTGGAGAAACAAAGCCAACCCTATGGCACAGCCTGTCTGCCTGAGACTGAACATTTGCTCGCACGCAGAGAAAAGCAGCTAGGGAGACACAGTGCCACCTCCAAGTGAGGGGTGGTTACAATGGCACCCGCCACTTTGCAACCACATAGCCCTGAGCTCCTCCCAAAAAACCTCCCTGACAAACACAAGGGCAGATTTCAAGAGCGACAAAAGATCTGGGGTCTCCTCCAAGAGACCCAATCTTCTGAGCCAGGGCACCCCCAAGCTGAAGGCCCTGATCTAGGAGCACAGGGGGCCGGGGTGGCATCGATGGCCACACTAGAGCTCTGGCCTCAGGCCTAAGAGAGCCAGCAGAGCTGCTTTGGGAGGCAGCGAGGGCGGCTGCACCCGCTCCCAACCCCAGAGCTGCAAACAAGGGAGCAAAGCCAACTGCTGGGCAAGGAGGGGCAGGGGTGGCAGGGGGGCGGAGACCAATCCATCAGCCCCTGCCAGCTCTGTTTGCAAACAAAGCAGCCAGCTGGCAATTTCCTTCCCCACATGTCCTCCCTGCACCTGCCCTGCTAGGCCAGGGAGTTTCCTGGGGTAATAATGCAAGAGGAAGGCAGGGGCTGCTGGGCTCCGGGGCTCTGCCCAGCACCCTCTCAGGGGTTGTGTCTACACATGCATTTACACTGGCTTAAATTTACTGCGCAGTAAGTTATTACGCAGTAAGCAGGAATAGGCCGGTGTCTACATGTGCAGGCATTAAAGCACATTAACCCTGTGTGGACTGATTTGGGACTAAAGTTAGTCCCAAGTCAGTCTGCTCACACAATGTTACTGAGCAGTAAGGCGCCTACACGTGTGTTACTGCACAGTAACTAATCAGGCGTAAATTTGATACCTACATGATGCAGGTATCAAATTTATGCTCAAGTTGGTGTAAGTCGCCATATTTGCTGCACAGTACTGGTGTGCACGTGTAGACATGTGCCCGCCTGCACAGTAATTTTGGTGACTTTGCAGTAAATGCGCACATGTAGACGTGCCCAGGGAGGGGTCAGGCAGCTGTGAAGCTCCCGGCAGCTTCGGACTGGGGAACGCCACGCACAAGGCAATTGCTTTTCCTTTCGATTTGAATTTAAAAGCCTCGGGGTGGCCAGTGCAAGAGTGCGGGGCTCGGGGCTGCATGGCCTGCAGCCCAGCTGTGCCCTCCCATGGCAGGGAAGTGCCCTGGATAAAACAGCTTGATTTTCCAAAGAAGACATGCTGGAAGCAATCTGGGGCTGGGGTCCTCTCTCTACGGCTAGGCAGAGCCTGGTCTAGCCTGGCGGGTCACACAAATAATGACCAGACGCAGGCAGGCCTGGCTTGGCCTAGAAACCCACACAATGGGTTTTATTTAGTAAGGCCTCCCTCCCCCCTCCAGCCTAATTAACATCAGAGCTTGCAAGGAGCTGGGCATGACCTCAGCACGCCGGCATCCGGGGCAGCGCAGGCCCAGCCATCACCGAGTGGGACCTGCTGACCCCCCGCCCCCCAGGGGCAAGGCTGTGCCCACCCCCCCAGGCACTGAGCCCAGAACCTGGTTGTAAATCTGGATATGTGGAAACTCCTCCCAGGATCCAGCTGGAGGCGGGATGTTTTTGGCACTGCACCGTGGTTCATTGATGCCGACAGGAAAAGGGGAAGCCGACACGCGTGCTGCAGCTTTGTGGGAACCGCATCAGAGCAGGTCCCTTGGAGGAGGCTGGGACACTGGCAGTGCCCACGGGTGCATCCCGTTCTCCCCACCTGCTGCACTGACAAGAACCGGGGGCTTTCTGCCCCCGGCATCCGGTCAGCGCCTCCGTGAATCCAGACTCCTTAAATAAGCATCAGAGAGAAATCACAGCATTGCAATGGGGAGGTGAGATGATGCAGGAGCTGCTTTGGGACCCACCTCCCCACCGGCCAAGTGGAGCCAGGAAGAGAGAGCTGATCCCAGCAAGGAGAAGGCACCTGCAAGGATTTTGCAAAGCGCCTGCAAGGATCCAGCTTTCCAGCAAGGAGGAAGAGCAGGAAGGAGGACTCTCCGCTGGAAAGGAGGGTGTAACTCACACCCACTTCTCAGGCCCCTTCCCCTGCCCAAGTGGCTCTGGTCTCTTTGTGTCAAGGAGGAGCCAGCCGGTGTTTCTTGCCAAGATACAATAGTGTGTTTCCTCCTCTCGGAAGCACTCGAGCTGTTTCTCAAAGGATTATCCTGCTCAGGGGGTCAGTCGGGAAGTGCTCGGCCAGGCGGCCTGGGAAAGGCCGTGGGATGCGGATGCAGGGATGGCACAGGGCTGGGAGGCAGGAGGAGCTGGGTGCCACGCTTCTTCCCATCCCCTCCCCTCCTGCCCCTTGTCTGCTCAAAGCCAATTGTGGGACTACACTGGTCTCCTCGATTCATGTCCTGAACCCTGGGAGCCAGGACTGTCTCCCTTGGGCATGCACCACAGCAAGTCGATACCAGGCCCCATTATATGCCACAGCCACCAGTTATTCAAGCCAGGATTTCCCAAGGGCCAAGGTGCCCGGATCTCCATGAATCTGGGCCCTTTGCTCCCTCAGAAACCCCAGCCAGGGTGTCCTGTGTCCCAGCAGGCGAATGCCACCAGCTCAATCCCATAAACTGGGGATGGAGGGTGGTTTTGGGGGGAGGGATAAGGCGAGCTGCATTCTCATCTGAGCAACGCCATTCAGGAAGGACCACACGTGCCCATAACCACAGCATCCCACTATGTGCATTTACCCTAACGGCCAGCCCCAGAAAGCAGGGATGTGCTTCTCTCTCTCCACGAGATAGATGGGGAAACTGAGGCAGGAAGCCACCACGTGCCAGGCG